CGCGGGGGCGGCGGCGGAGGCGGCGGCGGCGGCGGCCCGGGGCCCCTGGGCGCCCGCCCGAGCGCGGCCTCATGGTCCTGCGGCGGGAGGGCGCGGAGGGCGGGCGCGGCCGGGCATAGTCGCGGGCCGGCGGAGGACCGAGCGCGGGCGGACGCCTCACAGCCCCATCGCGGCGGCGGCGGCGGCGGCTTTGTGGGTCGCAGGCTCGGCTGGGCTCCCCCGGCCGTCGCGCCGCGGCCCTTTCATCTGCTCCACGTGAGGGGTTATCCCCGCCCCGGCAACGTCGTGACCCGCTCTCCCCTCCCTCCCCGCACTCGACCGCCGCTGCCGCCGGGGGGAGCGGGAAGGCGGGGCGGGCGCGGTGGGGGGCGGCCCGACGGCCGGGCACGCCCCCGAGCTCGCTCCGCCCCCTCGTCCCAGCCCCGCCCCTCGCCCGCCACCGCCTGCGCTCCACCCCATTGTTCTCGCTCCGCCCACCGCCTACCGTCTTGCTCCGCCCCATCGTCCTCGCTCCGCCCCCTCCCTTGGTCTGTACCCGCCCCCTCATCCTCGCTCCGCCCCCACGCTCTAGCTCCACCCCTTCATCCGCGCTCCGCCCCCGGCGGCAGACATTTCTCCTTACGGTTGCCAGAGTTCGGCGGGAACCCTGACAGCATCCTGCTGCCAGGCGACTGCGTTCTCTCTGGAGGCCCCACGCCTCCTGGTCCCGTGCGGTAGTTAGGGCCTTGTCCTTCCCGGCTCTGCGGCCCCAATCCATAGTTCCCAGGAGCCCGCACCCGGCTCTCCACCCTCACCCCCACCTCTAGGATCGAATGGGAAAAGCCCCCGCGGGTCAGAGCCGTTTGCAGCTCAGCCGTGCCGGGACGCGTCTGGTTCTTGCCACGGTGTCGCTAAGATAGTTACTCAACTAGGGGGCGGAGGTGGGGGCCATTTAGCCATGGAATTCTGATGGAGTTCATCTTTTTGCAGCCCAAAGACTGTAACTCAAACACCCTCCAAGAGAGGTTCTGAAACTTTGAGTCTCTCCGTGTGCAGAAGGCCAGAGTATTCCAACACCATCAGTCTTTATGCACAGAATGATGGCTGCCAAATTAATGTACCAAATACGTGCTCCAGGGCCCAGGGGTCCCCAATCGTCCAGGAGATAAACCTTTCAAGTCCCCACCCCTCTTTGGAACATGCCTTTTCTGTCCTCGTCTAGTCCTATGAGAATCGAACCCTTCCTTCAAAATTGAGATTCAATTCCCACTTCTCGGTGGACTTTTCCTTCTCTCAGCAAAATGGCTTTGTTCAGATATTCGCAAATATTTGGTTAGGATGATCTGCTTCTACTTGCTACCACACCCAAAATATTAAAAAGACGAAAAGAAAACTCAATGAGTATTGTCTTGGGCAAACAACTTACCAAGGTTACATTTTAGAGTAGAAAAAATATTTTCAAAATGTGGAATAGAAAATACACTTGAAAAAATCCACGGATCTGCATTGCCACATTTGGACCACCCAGAGTTTCTGCTTAGGAGGGAGGCACCTGGGAAAGCAGGGCTCAGAGTACAGCTGCTTTGTAAGTTCCCTCAGAACCAAGCTGAACCAGTGCTGGCTGGGTCTGGGCAACATCAGTCCTGTATCTCCCCCTAGGTGGCACAGTCCAGTCATTAAGGGGGAAGTCAATTACTACAGCCCACCCATGACACTTTGCAATATTTAAAATTCAAGGTCACCATCAACTGATGAACAAGTCAATAAAAACAATATATCCATACAATGGAATGAAGTACTGATACAGAGGTACAACATGAATGAACCTTGAGAACATTGTGGTAAGTGAAAGAAGCCAGTCACAAAGGACCACATAGCGTATGATTCCATTTATATGAAATGTCCAGAATAGGCAAATCTACAGAGACAGAAAGTCAATTAGTGGTTGCCAGAGGTTGGAGGGAGGCAGGAATGGGTAGTGACTGCTAATGGGTTTCTTTTGGAGGTGATGAAAATGTTCTGGAATTAGATAATGCTGATGGTTGCACAACTCTGTAAATATACTAAAACCCACTGAATTATACACTGTAAAATGATGAATTTAATGGTATGTCAATTATATCTCAATATAGTTGTTAAAAAATTTCAAAGCCATTAGTGGTATTTTCATGAAAACACACACACATATACCTACACACAGGATACTGTGTGAGGCTATTCTCTGCTCTTTTGAAGGCTTAGTTCAAATCTCACACCCTTGGGACCCAGGCTGCTCTGTTTAAAATGTCAGTGTGCCCCCTCTCCCCAAATCCCAATCTCCCTTGGCCTGCCCCCAGCTCTCCACCCCTGTGGCATTTATCACCTTCTAACATACTAAATGATTTGCTTACTTATTTCTGTCTCTCTTCCACGCCCCACATACACACATGCCAGAGAACAAACTATATTGGCAAGGATCTTGTCTTGATCACTGACTTAGGCCAAGGCTGCCTGGCCCAGAGTAGGCACTCGAGACATATTTGTTGCATGAATTAATGACTAAATGAATGAGTGATAAGCTCATCGTTTTGTATCCCTCCCATTTTTCAGACATTTGGGGCAGCTTGTTAACCAACAGCTGCTTAGGAGCACTGGACTTCATGGGACCAAAATAAATTCCGAATGTGGAGAAGAGCAACAGTCCTTCCCCTCAAGGACTGCAACAAAAACCTAGACAAGGGTCAAAAAAGAAACTGACTTCAATTTTTAAAGTTCTGTTTAAAGAAATAGATGGTGAATAAAACACAGGCCCACAACACAAAGGTAACACAATTCATCTCTCACCAGTTGTAAAGCTGTTTAGAAATGGAGATACTTACTGAGTAATGTAATTTCACCAAAATCTGATGGGCAGTGAGGGGAGATAGGAAATAACTTCAAATAAGAGATAAGACCCATTGGCTAAGAGCAAGGACTGGGTTGAGTGATAGGATGAAGAGAAGGCAAACCCATCCGTTATTTTTCATGGCACATCCCTAGTTAGGACATCCTGAGCGTAACTTATCTTGTTCTTTTCTCTACTTGATCAAACGCAGCTCAGATGAAAATAACCAAGAGCAGGTGCATCAGCATCAGTTAAAGCTGCCAGACCTTTGGCAAATCTCACTGACTTAGGCCAAAAACCACACAAAGCTTTGGGAAATGTTCCACCATCAGTGTCCTATTTATATGACCAAAGAGGGAAGTATAGGGATTTCAAATCCATAAATATATTCTTAGTACCTAAAGACACTATATCTGCACTAAGTAAAAACAGACATGGATATTCACCGCAGCATTGTTTTTAATAGTAAAAGACAAGAAATAACCTACATGTCCATCGATAGGGAATTAGTTAAATAAAGGTATACCGACTTAATATATAATAGGACTCTTATTCAATAGCCTTTTTTTTTTTTATTTATTTGAGACAGAGAATGAGAGAGGGCACATGAGAGAGGGGAGGGTCAGAGGGAGAAGCAGATTCTCTGCCAAGCAGGAAGCCCGATGCGGGACTCAATCCAGGGACTCCAGGATCATGCCCTGAGCCGAAGGCAGTCGCTTAACCAACTGAGCCACACAGGCACCCATTCAGTAGCCATTTAAAAAATAAACAAGCACTCTATGAACTTCTATAGGATGATCTTAGATATATACTGCTAAGTGAAAAAAATGTTCATATGGTATGTTATAGTGGAGGAGAGTGGGTAAGATTCATGAGGGTTTGCAAACATTAACTATGCGTGGAAGGAGAAATGGATGTTTATCCATAAGAAATGGATAAACAGTCGCCTCTGGAAAGGCATCTGGGTGACTGGGAAGCAGGGAAACGAGGGAGACCTATTTTTCCTGTCTACCCATTGTACCTATTGAATTAGCTCCATGTGCATATACTACCTATTCAAAGGTAATAAAATAAAAAAATAAAGAGACTAGCCAGCTAAATCCATAGCTGATAACATTCATTTTCTATATGCAAACGAATTCATTTAATAAACTTTATTGAACACCTAATATGTAGAATAAGAATAAGGGATTGGCCGAGAGTCATGGAAGATGCTAGCATTAGGGAAATCTAACACAGGACTTCTCCGTACTACTTTTGCAGTTTCTTCTTCTAATTATTTACAAACAAAAACTAAATTAAAAAAAAGAAACTGGATGAGCCAATCCCTGTCGTCAAGGAGTTCCTTCCTTTCTTCTCTCCTTCCACAAACATTTATTACTATACAGGACACAGAAATCATAAAGGGTGATGATAAAGTACTCTTTATTTTACAAAGAAATTCTAAGAGTGAATCTCGTCTTACTTCTTTAACGTGATTCCAATTTAAGACTTGGTAGCATTCCTCCAAAGTATTTATATCTATTTCTGGAAACTTTCATTTATTGTATTTAAACATCATATAATTCTCTTGAAAGGTACAATAGACGTTATACAGACAAGTAGCGGCAGTTCTTTCAAAACTCTTAGAAGTGTCTCTTCCGCCTTTGAAGTTATACCATCAATCTATGTCTACTTTGAGCCTTGAGGCAGAAGGCCAATCTGGGCCCCGATTCATCAGTGG